TTCTCCTACCTTAGTACATTGATTTAGGCATTCCCCCATTTCAGGGATGTTCTCTTCCTCACCACTTCTGTCTATTCAAATCAATAACAATAACAATAATGGTAATAATAGCTCTTTAAAGTTTGCAAAGCGCATTTTGAATTTTATCTCATTTTATCCTCACAACTCTGGGAGGCAGGTGTTATTATTTTCTCCATTTTACAGATAAGGAAACTGAGGCAGACAGTGGCTAAATGACTTGTCCAGGGTCAATCCAGCTAGTAAGCATCTGAGGCAGGATCTGAACTTAGATCTTCCTGATACCAGGCTCAGTATTCTATCCAGTATTCCACCCAGCACCTAATAAATAAGCATTTATTAAGCACTTTGTGCCAGGCACTGTGTTAAGTACCAGAGCTAAAAAGAAAGGCAAACAATAATTCATGCTCACAGTTTAAACAAAACTTGCAAACAACTATGTACATGGACAATACAGACAGGATAAATTGGAGGCAATTGTAAAGGGAAGGCACTAGCATAGGGGTGTCAACTTGCAGCCTTAATGTGGCCTTAAGGTCCTTGAGTGCAGCCTTTTGACTGAGTCTGGGTTTCACAGAACAAATCCTTCTGTTAATGGGATTTGTTTTGTGAAGTTTGGATTCGGTCAAAGGGCCTCACTTGAGGACCTAGAGGGCTGCATGGGGCCTCGAGGCCATAGGTTCCTCTCCCCACTGCACTAGCATTAAGAAGGAACAGGAAAGACCTCTCCCAGAAGGCTGGCTTTGAGCTGAGACTGGAAGAAAGCCAGGCAGTGGCAGTTAAGAAGGGAGAAATAAAACCAGGCTCATACCCCACTTTTACCAGAAAGTGTTTGCTGATACCACCCAGTCAAATGCCATCTCTTCCCCCTCAAATGTCCTTTGTCACTTCTATTCCACTTCATCTCACACTTATTTGTATATCTGTTATTGCAGTGGAAGCAGCTTACAGCCAGGCACTGCATCCTTCTTCGTCTTTGTTATCCCCTCCACTGAGCACAGACTATATGTGCTGGGCTTTGCATTAATAGAGTAATAATGTTTGTTAAACTGAATACAGCTCAATCTGGATTAGTGTAAATAATGAATGCTGTGAAGTGGTTGCAGTTTTTGAACATGCACTGAATATTTTCACGGTGCTTAAACCAATGACCATATTTTACATAATTATAACTTTGAATAGTGTGCATTCAAGTACACGCCACCGCTTCACAACATTCATTATTAGCACTAATCAAGACCTAACTGTAAAAATTAACATTGCAGATGGTTGCCCAAAAGGTTCATGTAGCCTATTAAGTGGAAACTGGCAGGAATTTCAGTCTCAGTATACATAGTCTTCTCCTCACTTGCATGGCCATTCACAGTAGAAAAGAGGAATTTTCTGCTTTAAGAATGGTTTAGGATGAAGTAAGCAGAATCAAAAGGACAATATACACATTCACTACGATGATGTAAAAATAACAACAACTATAGTGAAATGTTTAAAAAGTACATGTGAAAGACAGAAAGGGGAGGGGGAGAGCAGAAGCAACAGGATTTTTTTTGTTCTTTTGTTTAAGAAGTATGTACTTTTGAAATAAATCATAAATAAATTGGAGTTCATTGTTTTCTTATAATATTTTTGTTTATTTGGATATTTGCTTTTATTAAGCTTTTATTATTATTTATTATTAAATTATTTATTAATTTAAATTAATGTTATTAATTATTATTTATAAGTTTTTATTACTAAGTTTAGATGGAAGGATGGAAGAAAGGAAGAAAAGGAGGCAGAGAAGGAGGGGAGTCTGGGAAGAGGAAGGAAGTGGGGAAGGAGGGAGGAAGGAAGGAACAAAAGAGGGAGAAAGAGAAAAGAAAGAAATAGAAGAAGGAAGGGAAGAAGGTGGGAAGGAAGGGAAGGAGGGAGGAAAGAAGGGAAGGAAGAAAGATAAGAGGGAAAGAGGAAAGCAAGGAAGGAGGTAAAGGAGGGAAGAAGGATGAGAGGGAGAGGGGAAAGGAGGCTTAAGTTTAACAAGCTTAAAAAAACAAATACACAAACTTGAAAAGCATCATCTAAGAAGTGCCCCCTGGAAAGGCAAGGTAGCATCCTAGAAAGAGTTCTAGCAAACTGGAGAGAGTCGGCAAGAGTTTTGAAAGTAAAGTAAAGATTCACTATAGGATCTCAATGTTTCAAGTTTTAAGATAAAGACTTCTCTCTGTCACTTTTCCTTCTCTTGTCACTTGCAATCCTGTAGCTTTCCATCTATGTGTGGGTGACCTACATGTTCTATCTAGGTCATAGCTCGTTACCACAAATGCTGCTAAACAGGAATCTCTTAGGAAAAAAAAATCTCCAACTTCAGTTGATAACCCATTTGTTGCAGTAAAGGTATTTAACAAAATAAAATTCCAGAACAAATGAAGTAAGACAGAGCTCTGAATCTTACCAAAATAAGACTTTCTTTAAGTCCTCATTATAGCATGGAGGTAATCCTGGCCTCTCCATTGTTATGCCGAAGGATCATAGAATCACAGATTTAGAGCTGGAAGGGTTCTCCAAAATAACCTAGTTCAATCCCCTAATTTTGTAGATACCAAAGCTGATATTCAGAGGAGTTAAGTGTAATGTGTATGGTCATCTAGCTATGAAGTGGGAGATCCAGGTCATATAACTGAAAATCCAGTGTACTTTTCACTGTCATTGGACTTCATGTATTATTTCATGAGACTGGGTTCTTTTAAGGTTCCTGGATAGGACCTAAGTGCACTTGCCACATTGATTGAATTTAGTAATGGATAAAGCAGAGAAGGGACAGACAAGTATTCAAGTCCTACCAGTCATCCGGCTACTCTCTAGCCCCTGGGATGCTCAGTTCTAGGGTAGGTAGCAGCTTTGTCTCAAAGGGAAATCCAGCTCCTTTCTCAGCCAAAGGTGAGGACTGAGGCAACCTCTCTCCTTTCCTTGATTACTCTCTTTCACATCTTACTGGAGGGATTGGTCAATTTCCAAAGGAGTTTGGGTCTTAGCTGCATGTCTTTAGGCTAACCCCATATTAGAGCTGTGCTAATCCCAAGACAAACAGGAAAATTGTGTCTCTCCTGCTCTTTCCTCTGGACAGCCCAGTGGGCTATAAATCACTGTCTTACAGTAATAAAACATGACAGAATGTATTAAAAGGGAGGAGAAAGGGAGGTTGGAAACTATCTGCCCACAAGACAGATATATACAGATGTAGGGATAGGGAGAGAAGGATGATAAGCTAACTGCACAATAGGATGTATAAATAATGACAGTAATAACAATAACTAACATTTATATAGCACTTACTATGTGCCAGGCACTGTGCCAAGAGCTTTGCAATTATTATCTTATTTGATCCTCAAAACAACCCTGGGAGGCAGGTGCAATTATTAACTCCATTTTACAGATGGGGAAACTGAGGCAGATAGCTGTTAAATGACTTGCCTAGGGTCACACAGCTAGTAAGTATGTGAGGCTGGATTTGAACTCAGTCCTCTGGACTCCAGGTCCAGTGCTCTATTCTTTGTGCCAGCAAGCTGCCCCCATATACATAGAAGGATATAAAACCCATCTGTTGCTACAAGAAAGGATTAAAAAAAGGGAAAAAAATATGCCATCCGTCTTTCCAAAGATTCACTGATCACTTCATAACTAGGCATGAGTATCAATAATTGTCCCTGGCATTAAGAATGTAACCTAACATTTACCCTCCCAAGACAGGCTCCAAAATTTATGTCATAGTATGTAGACCACTACACTGCTCATAGAAGAGTATTTTCTGGCAGATTTTATTAACCTAGACAAGCTTCAAATAGGGTTCCAATCATAAACTATCTCCTATTTGAGGACCAACCTAGGTAAATTATTTGGTTATAGCAATTCAAGATGTATACATATATATGTACACACACACAAGCATATATATGCACATGCATGTATACATACATACACATGTATATACATGCGTAAATGTACACTCAAACAAATCACAGTTCTATCTCTCCCAAAATTGATGACAATTATTAGAAAAAAGTTAATAACTTAACATGTGTTAATGATAGCTTCATCCCTCAAAATATGAAGGAACCACTGTGAAGGAAGCCACAGTGCTGATGTACTGAGACTTCAGTCCACTAAAGCCCTCAGATATTTGTCAGTTGGATCACAATCTTATATTTATGGAATTGACTTTTTTAACCTGAACATAAGATTTTCTATTTATCCATATTAAATGTTACTTATTAGATTGAGCCCAACGCTCTGTCCCAGGAAGATTTTTTGTGTCCTGCTTTTCTTCTCCAGTGTATCTTTGATCTCTTCCAGCTTTACACCATCTGCAAATTTGCTCAGCATTACATCTATGTCTTTATCCCAGCCATCATTGAAACTGTTAAACAGCACACAACTATGCACAGCTTCCCTGGGGCACTCCTCTAGGGATCTCTTTCCAACCTGACCCCTAACCATCAAAGACTGCTGTTGGAGGGCTGTATGTTAACCGGTTCTGAATCTGGTCTAATTGTCTGTCTTACATATTTCATCTTGTCTACAAAAAAGCATGAAAGACTATGAAGTGCCTGGATAGAGTCTAGGTAAGCTATTTCCACAATGGTGAGGTTTGGTGAAAAGAACATTGGACTTAGAGACGGAAGACCTGGGTTTGAATCCTAGCTCTGCTACCATTTGAATGTCCTTGGGTAAGTCACTTAAACTCTTGGAGTTTTAGTTTCTTCATTGTTGTTATTGTTCAATTGTGTCCAACTCTTTGTGACCCCATCTGGGGTTTTCTTGACAAAGACACTGGAGTGGTTTGCCATTTTCTTCTCTAGCTCATTTTACAGAGGAGGAACTGAGGCAAACAGGGTTAAGTGACTTGCCCAGGGTCACACAGCTAGCATCTGAGTCCATATATGAATTCAAGAAGATAAGCCCTCCTGACTCTAGGCCAGGCACTCTGTCCACTGTGCCACCTTGCTTACCTATAAATTTATGGGGCTGGATTAGGTGAGTTAGTGCTCTTCCAACTTTAGGTCCTGTGATCCCTTATCTCTCAATTTAGTAACCCTGACAGAAAGAAAAAAGAAATCAGGCTAGCATATCATGGCTCATTCTTATTTAAGCCGTGTTTCTTCTTTGTGATCCCCGCTTCCTTTCCTACACATTCCCCAAGCATCCCTTAAGAACCAAAGTCAAGCTAACCAGACCACAGTGTGTCCCCTCTCTTCCTAGGAACTGCTGTTGCTGTTGTCGAAAGTTGAAAGGCAGGACATCGGGACATTTGACCTTCCCCAAGCCTGAGGTACTTGTCCTTTCTTTGTAGCCCATCAAAGATTTGGGGAATTTAAGGGACATTTGAAAGATGACAGTGATAAGCAATTGTAGGCGCCATAGGAGATAGTTCATCTGGTCTCGGGATTTCATCCAAAAGAGTCATTGGGTATTTGCTTACATCTCTTAGTGCTCTCTACTTACTTTGGGTATCAACTCCCCGTTAACCTTTCTTGTTTTGTGCTTTCAAGTCCAAAGATCATTCTCCTTGGCAAAGTGAAATAATAATAATAATAATAATAATAATAATAATAATAAAACCAAGAAGCAAAATGAGATTTAAATGGTTTTTCCTTCTCTCCACCATCCATTATCATCCCATCCCTTCTGATCTTTTCTGTCTCTCATTTTTACTCTTTTTTGGTTGTCTTTAACCTCCTTTTGCAAACCTCAGTTCATCTTGAGCTTTAATTCTCCTTGCACTATTCTTATAGGACTATGCCATACACATATGTGTGTATGTGCACATACACTAATACATATACATTCAGTTATGCAGTTAGTATCCTCCTAGGTCAACAGGATAGAATATAGATTTGCTACATAATTTGCATGCTACCTATAACTACAGTAGGGAAATGGGAATTTTTGGTCTATTTACATATGAAGTTGATATAGGGAATAGATTTACCATCATAGATATCTTACTAATTTTCAAGTCACCGATATGTTCCACTGGTCAGAAGGGAGTCTAAGGGAGAGAATATGGATAACTCAATGTAGTCTTTCCCTACTGCTAAACAGCCAACTTCATACACAGCTCACACCCTTCAATTTTTTCCATGTCGAATCAGCAGGACTCTGTGGGTCTTACATAGTCCTTGCACTGTCCCAGGAGTTGAATGTTCTGTGTCATTGGTTTCTCTCATTTGTCCTCCAGTTGACCTGACCGTGTCATTTGGGGAACATGAGGTACATTCAGAAGTTTTGAGTCAGTCATTCAGGATGCATGGGTACAGATGTGTTGCAAGCAGACATCATCCACTCCTGACAAAGAAACAAAATTATTCCTATAATTTATCATCACGGCCATCTTGAATGCTAACGAGAACACTGCTTGATTAGAATTGTCAAAAAGCATTTGCACTGCTGTCCTACCAGGGAACATTTCCTCTGCCAGATGCTGCCTTTCAAATTAACTACAAAGAATCTCTTATGCTTCCTTCTTCTACATTTTCCCTGGCCGTGAAGAAATGGATTATCAGAAAATGGTCTTTGTCTCCCCCACTCCCTTCTTCTGATGAACATTTTTTTTAAAGTGCTTCATAATTTAAAAAAAAAAGAAGGATGAAGAAAGAAAGTCTTTTGTGGGAGGAGTAATACTTCTGAGGTCACAATACCTTTGAGAACCTAATGGATTCATCAACAATAGATCTGAATTTTGGCACTGGTGGTTAGGTGTGTAAATCTTTCTCCTTGCCCTGTAGGAAACCCAAATACATCAGCTAAGCTACTGACTCTGTGAGTTGTGTGTGTGTGTGGTGTGTGTGTGTGTGTGTGTGTGTGTGTGTAGAGGAGAGGGGAGGGAAATAGGGAAGGGCAATGGGGAGAGGAGAAATTACCTACTTGGAAAGAAAGAAAAAGTATTTTTTAAAGCACTTCCTATGTCCTAGGCAATGTTCTAAGCCCCAAGGATATAGATAGAGAAGCAAGCAAGACAGTCAGTCTCCTCAAAGTACACACAATTTAATAGGGGAAGAAAAAAACTTGTTAGAAAGGTTTCTCTTTGGGGTCCAGGTAAGAAACAGAGAAGGCTGGGAAGTGCTGCAGAGTGCTGGATCGAGGCCAAATAAAGTGAGAGCTCACCAATCAAATCCCAGGGTCCCAAGGTGTGATGTATAAAAAGTTCAAGAGACATAATTTCTGAGTAATTAATCATTTTATTAATCATGCTTGCATATAATTAACGAAAGGGGTCAGTGGTGCTCTCAAATGCCAAAGACTCTTCATGGAACCCACTCAGTGCTTGTATGCCCTTGGAAGATCGGGTGTTCCTGAGGGTAGAAATCAACTCTGATTGGTTAACAAGTAATGAGAAAATGAGTATTATAATGAGAGGTGGGCTTATTCTAATGAGGGTCTGGTGGAGGTGAGATCACTCAGGCTTGGCCAAAGAGATTTATTTACACCCATATCACCCCTTCTAGGGTAATCTAGACAAAAGGCGGAATCCACTTCCATTCAGACCTGTGTTACTAAAACACATGGGTAGGAATCCATCAACTCACCTAAACTAAAAATTCTTTACCTTTTGATCAAATCTGAGTTTTCTCTCTCATTATCAGCTCCGAACTTCAAAGGCTGCCTGAATAACCTACAGGGGCTGATTTCTGAATGATAAAGTAGAAAAGGGGAAAATCTTTAGTACTAATTCAATAATTGGTTATTAATGTAAGAGAGAAATAATAATTTCTCTCAAGGGGAAAGATTTTAAGTTCCAGTGGAAACTAGAGTCGAATATAGGTGGTAGGAAGTAACAGCAATACTAACGATTACATTGACAAAAACAAATAACAATTAGGTAGTATTTTAAAGTTTGTAAAGCATTCATTCAGTTGTTTGTTTATTCATTCATCATTTGTTTATTTACTGACTTGTTTACTTATTTATTCATTTGTTTGTTTGTTTTCAGAAGATTAGGTTTCTTTACTTCCCCAGGCTAGAAGTGTGATGGTCTCTGTGGGATCTAATAAATAACTTATGTGGCTCATAAGCTTTTACCTGCTCTGTTTTCCTGAGCAGAGCCTTTCTTCACTCCTTAGGCAGTGTGCTGCCTTTCTCTCCCTTCTGATGGGTCATCATATTGGCACCGGACTTGGCACCAGACTTGGTTTTAGTTTGACTATAGTTCAGAGTTCCTGAGGTCAAGCAATCTATGACTTCCAGTCTCCTCAGCAGCAGGGATATCATCATTCCTGGCTCTAAAACATCATTTAGAGAGATGGTGTGATGAAATGGTTAAGGGACCACGATTGGAATCAGGAAAACCTGGGTTCAAATCTTACCTCCGACACTTGGGATGACGTGACCCTGACAAGTCTCTCATCCTCTCTGGGCTTCGGTTTCATCTGTCAATGAAGGTTTTAGACTCATTGTCCCCTAAAGTCTCTTCTAACCCTAAATTGTTGATCCTACAACTTCATTTAAGCTTAAATACCTCCCAGTGGGAGAAGTGCTCTAGGCTATTATCATCCCCACTTTACAGATGTGCTCAGAAAAGTAAACTACTTTAAAATACCTTCTAGGTCCTTGAGTGCAGCCTTTTGACTGAGTCCAAGTTTTACAGGACAAATCCTTCTATTAAGGAGACTTGTTCTGTGGAGTTTGGATTCAGTCAAAAGAGCTGCACTTGAGAATGAAGAGGGCCACACGTGGCCTCGAGGCTACAGATTCCCCACCCCTGCAAGCCAATGGTATCAAATTCAAATAAAAATGGGGCCACTACATGGGGCCCACTAGCAGAGTGTTTGATACATTGGGCTTAGCCATTAAGCTTTAAATGTTAAGCTGTTAAAGTTTAAAACTCCACTAAGACTTTTGTGACATCCTGTGTGTGTCTCTGTGTGTGTGTATACATATATATATATATATATACACATATGTACATATATATACACACATATATACATATATATAAACATATACACATATATACACATATATATACATATAGAAACATACATACATGTATGTATATATTTGTAAACTTTAAATTACCATAGAAAAGCTAGCTATTATTATGATTATGATTATTATTATTGTCATTTTGGAAGCTTATTAGAAACAACAAATTCATCCATATGCTAAGAGGCTTCAAATTTTCAAACCACTCCAAGAGACTGCCTTTTGGAATAATATCTGTGGTTTGTTTTCTGAAGAACTAAGGATCTTCTTCCCTTAGTGTTCATTTTGCTCCCTCCACAATCCATAAATTTCACCCAACACTTGCTTTTATTCTATGGCAATAACTAGAGTTACAATGCAGCATTTTGTCACTGTATTCAATTTTCATAAATTAGCCCTTAAGTTATTGCGCTGATTAGAAAGCTACATTAAGCATGAATCTACCCAATTATTCCTTTTTTGGAAATAATGAAGAAGACTTGTAGGAAACGTTTGAGGGCAGTGGGGGCCATTGGGTGAAGAGGACAATTAGTGCTTCCTTCCAGAGAATGTAGGGAAGCAGGCTGAAGTCTGGATGTGTTACAGGCATGTTATTTAACTCTGGGCAAACTCCATTATTGAAATCACTCATGCCTTGCTTAGATCCCAGCACCTTGAAATGGACTCCCTCCTCCTTTGCTTCTCAGGATTCCTGATTTTCTTAAAGCTTTAATGTGAACTCACTTTTCCTGGGTCCCTACTTGCTAGTGCATCCTGTCCCAAATCTACCTTGAATTCCTCTTGAATATATTCTGCATGTATTTATATGTGGATATTTTTCTCCTCCATTAGAATGTAGGCTTCTTAAACACAGAGACTATGTCACTTTTGTCTTTGTATCTCCAGTACTTAGCACAGTGCTAGGCATAAAGTAAGTGCTTGATAAATATTCACTGACCAATTGAGTGACCCTATGGTAAGTGAGAGGGGGACTGTGAACAGGCAATTTTTGACTTGTTTCCACAGCAACTGAGGAAAATAGAGTGTCTCCCTGAAGGCCTAGCTATGAGATAATTGGTTAAGTTCCTCATTTTTCTCTGCTAGGAATAAAAGATGAAGATGAGAAGACTTATGGGACGTACCTAAGCACCTATTTCTTTAGGGATTTTCACCTTCAAACATTCTGTACCCATATCAACTAATTAATCTACCTACCACTCTTGTGAGTAATTAGGCACAGATGAGGAGACTGGGGTTGACCCAGGCCTTTAGCCAATACCCAAAGGATTCACTATGACTTATTCTTTCCTTTTCTGGGCTCTGTTGGACCTCAGAGATAATTGTTCTTTCAGAATCATGCAGATTGCCTGATGTCAGTTCTAAGGGTGATTTGAAACACCGCCCTACTTATATTCTCTTAAGATTTCACGGTCAGATGTAGCACTGCTTTGGGAATTTTTTTTTTTTTAGCAAAGCAAACTTACCCAGAATCCAGCAATCAAATCCAAACTTTATTCTGCTGGAGGTGACAGGCGTAGGGATTGGTACAGTGTTGGAGGATATAGGAGGGCAGTGGGTAAATTTCCATTTTCCTGAACCAAGAAGCCGTATAGGGACAATATACATGCATCTACTGGAGGAGGCCTTCTCCCAGGTAGAGTCTGGTCTGATTCCCAGAGAAACTACTGAAACCCCAAAAAGACCTCCATAACTCAATTTAGTACAACCAAAAGGAAGCCTTTCCCAATCCTTCTTAATTGTGATGCCTTCCCTTTGTTGATTATTTTCTATTTATCTACTATGAAGTTTGTTTCTATACAGTTGTTTATATGCTATTTCCTCCATTAGATTGTGGGCTCCTTGAGGGCAGGGACTCTTTGCCTTTGCATCCCCAGTGTTTATCACAGTATTGCGAAGTAGGTGATTAAGGAATACTTGTTGACTACCAGACCACAGAGCTATAGAGGCATATTGAGGACCTCAAACTCAGCTGTGGCGCTCAGTAAGATAATGACACCTGATACTAGGCTGAATCTTCAATTAATCTGGATTAATAATTATTTACTGAATTAAAACACAGAAGGGTAATTAACAGCAAGGCAAATTCATATCAGTGACTCAATGAATAAAGTATTTCCCTGGTGGTATTCTGAGCTTTGGCCACCTCCAGTAGGGTGTCCTAACTGCCCTGCATAATATAAATGGGTACTCATAAAGGGGACCTCCTCGTTCAACTTTGCATCATACTTAACAAATGTAATGAAAAGAAAGATAGAAGTTTGGTCCTGTAAAACCCAAGCCTTTTAATTTTCACCAAGGTCTCCTTTTTCTCCAGTTTTAAGGGGCTATAATTTTCCATTTTATTCCCTCCTGAGAACCCCACCCCCTCCAGTGAATGTTTTCTCTGTCTCTTCCTCCTCCATTTTTTTCTTCATGGCAACTGCATTACTGCTTCTTCCCCATATTACAAAGATCGATAGAGAAAGATAAGCCTTTGAGCTCATGGCTTCTTGAAAAGATCCATGTCCAGACACCATTGGTCCTAAGGAAAACAAAGGGGCAGCTAGGTGGCAAAGTGGATAGAGCACTGGCCCTGGAGTCAGGAGGACCTGAGTTCAAATGTGGCCTCAGACACATAACACTCACTAGCTGTGTGACCTTGG